CTTTTGACTTTAGTAGAATCCAAGTCTCCAAGTTTCTAAATGTTGTCCATTTATCCATTTTCTTCCACTTATCCAATTGGGATTGGGGGTGGAGCTTATCCAGTCTGTTGCTGTGCTACCACAGAGAGGCAGACAGCCATTCAGAGTAACCCAAATAAACAACATGCAAACTCAACCCATGAAATGCAAGGCCAGCATTTACAATTCTTCCTTGTATATGTTGTGCTTTCAATGTTGCTGTGTCCTAATTCCATGGATTTCCTCTGGCATCTTTTCACAATCCAAAGACATTCATATCATGTCAGTTGTTGATTCTAAATTGGTTGTATGTATGGATGTGAGACTGTGTGGTGGTTGGCTGTATCCCTGTGTTTCTGTAATGAAATAACACCTGGCGAGGGTGTACCCTGCCTCGCTCACACCCTATAACAGTAAAGAGGCGCCCCAATGCTCCAGCGCCCCGGTAACCCAACGTTTATGGATGGCTTGTATTCTGGGACCTGTGCTACAAAAGGACTTCAACATACCCCAGATATCTTTTCCTTACCCTGCTTCTCTAACCTTACATATTATCACCAATTTAACCAAAAACAGTTTTAAAAAGGTGAGTTTTGAGTTGTTTTTTTAAAAATAACTTCCGAGTCCACAGCTCTTAATGTATGAGGGAGAGAGTTCCACGGTCTCGGGGCCACTGTGGCAAAAGCTCTGTCACCCTCTGTCTCATCTTAGTCTGTTTTATAGCAAGTAAGCCCTGATCAGATGACCTCAGGGACCTGCTAGGGACATAGGGCTGTAGCAGATCGGAGATGTAGGGAGGTGTCAGTCCATGCAAGGCTCTAAATGTCAAGACCAGGATCTTAAAATGTACTCTAAATTCAACAGGAAGCCAGTGTAGCTGAAATAGCAATGGTATCACATGTGAATACTTGGAGGATTTTGTCAACAGCCCAGCTGCAGCGTTTTGCACAACCTGCAGACGATCCAGAGGACCTTTGCTTAGACACATAAACAAAGAGTTACAACAGTCCAAGCATGAGGAAATAAATGCATGTATAGCAATCTCCAGTTCAGGGTGAGATAAAATAGGGCTTAACTTAGTCACATTTCTTAAATGATAAAACAAGAGCGAACCAGAGGTTTCACATGCCCATCCAATGTGAGAGTTGAGTCAAAAGTGACACCTAAATTCCTGATAGGGGATTTAACATACACAGAAAGAGGACCAAGGGCTTTCACTATCTGGGATACAAATCTGTCCGGAGCACACAGTTTTGAATGGATTGAGTTGGAGGAAAACAACCATTTCCCTATCTATGAGTGTATTTATATGAATGAGGAAGTGTTTGCAAATGCTGACAGGACTAGTAGCATTAGTATATTTTTATTGAAAGACAAAACTACAGTATTAGAGAATAAAAATAAATTATAAATAAAATATAAGGAAAGCTGACCAAAACACTGACTGTGTCAGTTAATAAACTAATCAGTATCACAGCTCTATCATTAAGATGTGTGAAGTCCTGACTTATAATTACAATTGTGTATTCCAATAAATGAACTGGCTACATTGATTAGATGTGCATTAGCAATCTGAGCCTTATTCTTTCAGCTGCAGCCCCGGTGGTGTTCAACAAGCTAAGTGGAAGCAAAGAAGAAAAGTAAGTTCACAGCGGCAAGCAGGCTTACTTGGGTGCTCAGTCTTTGGATTGTTTCACTGTATTCAGACGCGCATAACAATACAATTGATTGAAGCCAACAATGAAAAACAAATTCATATTGATCCTAAGTGGGGGCACACAGAGACTTTAGACACTACAATCCACAGAAACATCCTAGAATGGCTTCTGAATTGTTGTTGTTGTTTTTTCTTTGTGTTGTGATTTTGGGTCTAGGGCCTACCATACCCTAGTTACCATGACTTTGGAGAACATCTTTTAGCGGTCAAACCTGACGTCTTTTGATACCATAGGTTTCATTGATGAAGGGCCAGAGCAGCGTGAGGTAACTGAGGAAGTCCGCTCTGACAGCTCTACTTTTCACTCTGTGAAAAGCGATCACTCTATTGAGATGGATGTTATAAATAATTTCTTGTAAGTAATTATAATCAAGCATGAGACTGGCACTTAAAAATGCAATAGAAGAAGAGTTTTAAATGCACTGAATGCATTTAATGTATATCAGAGGAAACAAAAAACATAAAGTGAAATCTTAATAATTGTAACTTTGTGTTAAACATCTCATGAGAATCCTGTTCTGGACTGTACAGCGCTGTTCTTTTACAAGTATCCACCCACCTACATGTTGTAATTAGCATAACAGAAGCTAATGTATGGCAAACTGATCATTATTCTAACAGAAGCCCCTTCAGGGTGATTCAGCAGTTAAATCAGAGATTCTTGATAACACTGAAGGGGCTCATTTTCCCATGATGTCTTCCTGCCCCCAGATTCCTGCTCCTTACACAGTGACATGAGTACAAAATGCATCAATCAAGTGACACTACTTAAAACAAGTCAACAAAAAAAACTAAAAAATGCTTTTGTTACAAACTAAATTAAACCAAAGTAGGAAGAAAAAGGAGTGAGAAAAATCTCTGTGGTGAAAGAAGAGATGAGACACCCTAAATGTAAAGTCTGGAAAAAAAAAATAATTGTGGCACTGGCCACGCCCCCAAGTTTGCTGCCCCCTAGTGGCCCCCTCTGACAAGTAATAATCATAAGAATCAGTAAAGCAATGTTTTTTTAAAAAACAGATTATTATGGATTTCAAAATTATAAATAT